GCTGCTACTACAGCTACTGCTGCTACAGCTACTGCCATCGCTACTAAGCCTGGCCTACGGCGACGACGACTACGCGACGACAACGACTACTATTGATACTATTTGCTGCAACTACTAACATTGCCGCTGCTTTTTTGCATGAGCTTGAGGATCTATGGGACAAGAAGCCTGTCATTTCGGGCATAAGGGACCTGGTGAAGTGTTAGTTTACAGTTAGGGGTTATGTGGGTTGTGGGCTTGGGCTGCAAGGCTGGCGGTTGTAGTTGGACTAACTTATTTTTTGAAACAGTTGCTAGTACTAACGATAGTAGAAGGCTTAGTTCCACGGAGAACAGTGGCAGCAGTGGCATCATAACATCACTACTGAAACGCTTGAACCTAGTGCGCTAAAACCCTGGAATCGCGAATCCAAAAGTCTAAATCCTAAAGCCCATGCTTCTGAGCAAAGCTTGATTGTCACAGCCCTGGGCGCAATTCGAGCCCAGAAGTCGCCTAAGGCTTTGGCCTTCAACCTGGTTCCAATGCTGCTTCTTGGCCAAGCATAGTTTTGGGCACAATGCCAAGGAAGAGATTCTAGCATGTTCAGCCGTTAGCCGTCAGGGGTGGGAGATGGGGCCTCTTGGTGTTTCTGCAAGGCCTGGCAGATTATAGGGGCTTCGTCGAGTTAGTTGAGCTGTAGGATTTGTTCTATGGTGGGACGTGGGTGGCTCAGAGTGCTTTGTTCGGGTGCAAGCCCCAGCCTTGATGTGCATAAGGCACAACTGCGACTTGTGCTTGCCTGCCCCTGCTCGTCTGTCTGTCGGTCTGTCTGTATGTCTAAATGTATCTTCATATATAGAGATGTACATCTCTAGATTGTAGATATATCGGCAGGTAGGCATCCAACAAGTTCCAGCAATTCTAGTAGCAAGGTACATGGCAGATACTGCTATATCTGTCTCGTACTACTTCTGACGCTACTATACATCCTGTGCCGAGGCACCCAGGATTCCTTAGACTCTTCGAGAGTGGCTCCTGCTCGCCTGGGTTTGCCTTTCGGCAAATGTCGTGGGCTTGTGCAGCCGGCATGTTGGAGCTTAGTCCAGGCAGTTTAGCTCGCCGCATAAGGCAGCTGCACAAATGTTGAACCTCGAACCAACCCCTCTGGATGTGGTGCTCCATGGCTACTGGTCCAGCGCCTAGAAGTAGCTGCTTTCACTATGTTCTAAAGGTCACGCACCCGGGTAAATGGTCGAATCAGATGTGACCGGCAGTTACTTTGACAGCTTCCTGTGATCGCTGTCGCCTACCTAGCCCTAGCCTGAAACTTTCATCCGAAAGCAACCCCGTTTGCGTCTCTTCGAAACGATGATGTTGCTTCCTAGACTACTGAATGACTCTGAAAACCCTCAACCCTAAACCCTAAACCCTAAACCCTAAACCCTGGCAGGACGAGGAGGACGAGTTTTTCGATTGCGCCGAGACGGATGCAGACCTGTGCCGTCTCCGGAGCGCCGATCCCTCGGCCTCTTTTTTTTTCAGGGATCTGGAGTTAGGGTTTAGGGTTTAGGGTTTAGGAGTTTGGGTAATGCGCTGCCCACCCAGCAGCAGCCTCTACCATGAATGTACAATGGCCGTAGCAAGCACAACCCTCACGGACCGCCATGCTGAGAATAGCGATGGTGACGACAGTAGTCCTCGCAATGGAGGCTTCAATGTAGACGAAAAGAACAAGAAAAATCAAGCGTACATGCAGGCAGCACAGGCTGGCCCCGGCCTTGCACTGACCCCTTACAAACCTCCATCGCCTTAGCCCAACCAGCTAAACCAACCGAAATTGGATCATCACCAACAGCTGACATGATGCACGGGCTGGTCACTGAAACACTTGGCCACTCACCCTCCACAGGAGCACCTAGAAGCTTGGCGAACTGCTGCACTCTCCACTGCGGGTCACCACCACCCCCGCCTTGGATGGTCACGATAAGGGCTCCATGCGGCCTCCATGGGACGCTCCAATCAAGCTTGACGGTGGCCAAAGCTTCAAGAGCACGGCTAACAATGACAAAGTCAAGCTCCGCACCTGCTCCTTGTGTGCACGTCATTTCATTCACTGCAAGGAGTCTACCGCGTATGACCTGAACGAGGCTGTGCTCCATAAGATCAGCCGGTGAGCAGTTGAAGTCTTGCGTACATCTGAAGGTAAATGTTTTCACACATACATGCAATCTGCTTCTCCTGCGCCTTCTCTTCCTTCTCCTTCTCGCAGCTGGTAGTTTTGTTATTGTCATTATTAGAAGTAGAACTAGCAGACTAACCAGCAGCAATGGTACGGGTGAGGGTTATGAATGTGACGATGCTGGTGGTGCTCGTTATCACCAACATCACTTGCCATCGCAGTCACCATCGTCATCATGGTCGCCATCCTGTTCCTTCTCCTCCTCCTCCTCCTGCTCCTCCTCCTCCTCCTGCTCATCCTCCTCCTCCTGCTCCTGCTCCTCATCAGCCTCACCATCATCATCAGCATCATCATCGCCTTCAGCATCACCGTCAAAAATTTCACCATCACCATCACCAGGATAACTTGACCGACCTTCTCACCAGCAATTAACAGCCAGCGTCATCATAACATCGTCATGGTTGTCATCGTCATGTCGCTGTCCTTATCCCCATCTCTCACATTCCTTTCGTCATCAGCCTTATCATCAGCAGCACGGTCAGCATCACTGCTGATCAATCATGATTCATGTTTGCTGCCATCCGAAATACGCACGTTGCCGAACTTCTTTTGCCCTCGTCAGATTCTGCCTTGCAGTCCAAGCGTCGAGGCCTAAGTACCAGAAGCAGCAAGCATGGACCCCACACCTCAAACATCAACGCCTAAAGCCTCCAGCGAAACCCGAAATGCTGAGCCATCTGCAAACACTCGGAATTTAAGCTGAAAGCCGAGGCTTCAACCCCAAAACCCCGCACCCAGCTTGGACCCGCACCTCATGAAGCCCTATAATCCTAGAGACTCCAAGCCTTGAAGCTCCTCCGGCCGAGGATATCTCGATTGCATCTACGCCCTCAACTCGCATCCCGGACCCCCGACCTGCGGTCTCTATAGTTGTAGATGTATGATCTGATATATGATATATGAAATGTGATATAAGATAATATGGCTGGATGGATGGTTCCACAAGACGGTACTCTGTTTGTATCCTAGGGCCACGGTTTGATTGGCGCTGCTCCTGTCAAGGATGGCCTTTCGGGGGTTTCTCCGGCTAGAGCTTCAGGCTGCCGTCTAGGGTGCGTGTGAGCTTTGGGACTTGGGGTTTGGGGGTCTGGGTTTGGGTCTCGGGTCATCAGACAAACATATATATATATATACATACACACATACATACATACATGCATGCACGTATCGAACATGTCATATACATATATGATGTATGTACATGTACAATACATATATATATATATATATTCATATTTATGTTTCTGTCTGTATAAATATAGATGTGTGATCTGATATATGATACATGGTATGTGGTATAAGATACATGGTATATGCCACGCTCGATATGGTATGTTATACACGGTACCTGGTATATGATCTACTATGGATATGTGGTCTTTGATATGGTATATACATATACCTACCATACATCATATACCATATCATATACCATATGCCATATTCCATACACACCAAGTCTTGCAGTAGGCGGTCCGATGGAGCTTAGACATTAGACGCGGGTTATCGTGCAAACGGATGCTAAACCTGCTTTCGAAAGTCAAACGAATTACTAACACTGGTCCCCAGGGTGTTTCTGAACATACTTACAGTGTAGCACACCCCAAAACCAAAACCCTTTTTCTAAATCTTAAGGGTACTACATGAAACTTCGTTGTCTCACCATCACCTCGAGACAGCAGGTGCTTACTACGAAGGGTTTGAAGCCCTAGAGAGGTGCTGGCTGAACCGGTCTGCTTGGGATGCGCGGATATTAGGGATGTTTCGGGTTTGACAGCTTTAGTGGCTTGGTTTTCGGTTCAGGGTTTGTAAGACCTGCCATAGAGAAAGACTTTTTGATAATACTATTGCTTGACAGCCCCCGACAAAAATCAAAATGTAGTATGCCCCATGCCCCATTCCCTAAACTCAAAAGCCTAAACCCCGAACCCGAAACCCTAAACCCAAACCAACTGCAAATGTTAAGGCCCCAGATTATGTGGCTTGGCTTCCGGATGTCACAACAAGTCGAAAGATTGGAAGATGCACTAAACTACACTAGGGACCATGTGCGGGGATACTACCTATAACAAGGACTGTAAAGGGATACTTTAGCTTTTACAGGAACTTGAAGAAGTATGTCAAACAGGCAGGCCGAGAGCGCTTTGAACCGCTATCGATGAGAGGAGTCTTATGGCGGAATCAGCTTCAATTCTGGGTGGCATCAGACTTCCTCTCCTTGTCTGGAAGAGGCCCCGTGCATGTGCTTAATGTCTGATTGGTCGGGATGTTTCAAACTTCGTGACCCTTAGCATCAAACTTCATGTACGTTTGTGGCTTATCATGCCGATGTGTTGAGGATAGCAGGTATATCATGTTGCACTGCAGGTGGCGAGACCAGCGGCAGTAGAAATTGTAGCAGTAGCAGTCGTCGTTGCCGTCGTAGAAACGAGTATAGCAACACATTCACGACGGTGATATCAAAGGAGGTATGCATCTTCGTGAACGGAATGACCACGAAGACAACACCTGCGGCCATCATAGTTGTAGTCTAAGTTGGCTTGCCGTCGCTGGTTCCAGCGCACCTCGAGTAGGATCGCGGCGGTAGCCACACAATGTGCGCGTATATAGATATACATATATGTGCATCTATACATATATATATATATGTATCCATATGTATATAGTATATACATATGTATGTATGCATGCATGCATGCATGCATGCATGCATGCATGCATGCATGTATGTATGTATGTATGTATGTATGTATGTATGTATGTATATATACCGTACATGTATGTATGTATGCATGTATGTATGTATATATGTATACGGGGATGTACAGCTGCACATTGACTTGTGGCAGCCTGTCCTGTTGTTGCCGCTAGAGGATGTTGTCGTGGATATATACCTATATATATATATATATATATGTATACCAATGGTTTGTATACATGCATACCCACATACATATATACTATGAACACGGCAGAAATGAGTTTGGTAGCCGTGCTAATGGTAAGAGCAGTTGCCGTGATGACATGAGCAACTCGACGAGGAATAGGACTGAGCTCTCTCAAACCTGAACGCTTAACTTCATAAGTTGGTCATAACCCTAAACCCGAAGCCTAGACATCAAACTCCACATCCTGAACCATTCGGTATTGCTTTTGACCAGCAGGTTGGTGATCCGACTGAGATTGTGTTGACCTCAGACTCCGCTTCAGCGGAGAGACTGCGCAGCCAGTTTAAGGTCTCGAGTTTAGAGGGTATGGCTCATCCAACATCACAGATTCGGGATTTGCGGTCGTGGGTTCAGAAGTGAGAATTTCGTTTACGGAGTGAAAGTATCCACATTCGAGGCCGGCAATAGCATAGGGGCCCGTATACATGGCTACATCCCAGTATAAAAAAATTCAAGGAAACCTCTGCAGGACCCTGGTCTGATAATATAGGCTTCCAGATTATTGGAACACAGACGTTCCACATCTGAGGCCAACGCGATGGCCCTACTGGGACGCACGAGGCGCGGCTTCTTGGAGATGCACGTCTTTCCTTTCAGAGTTGGAGTTCCCATCAGAAGGAAGCTTTGATTCACACAGGCCTGTGCAGCAATCTAGCGCGATTCCGTGGTCAGTGATAACTAGCAGGAGCCAACTCACCCGGATATGCATAAAATGAACAAAAGTGCCTTTCCTAGGCGTAGTACCAGCAGCCGCGGCGGCTCCTCCTCCTCCTCCTCCTCGTCCTCCTCATCGTCGTCATCGTCGTCGTCTTCATCATCAGCATCATCACCGTCACCTTCATCATAAGCTTTGTCATATTCATGCTTGTACTTATGCTGTCGCTCGTATTCATACTCATATCCGTTCTCATATTCACACTCACATGAAGATGCATATTCATATGATCTGGTATTCATCACAATCACCATCTTCTTCTTCCTCGTCACATCCTCCTTCCCTTCTCCTAATTAACACGTTCACCATCACCACCACCACCATCATCATGATGATGATGATCATCATCATCACCATCATCATCATCCTCATCCTCATCCTCATCCTCATCCTCATCCTCATCCTCATCCTCATCCTCACCATCATCATCATCATCATTCTCATCGCCGTCGTCATCCTCATCGCCGTCGTCATCATCATCGCCGTTGTCATCATCATCGTCATATCACCATCCTCATCATCATCACCATCATCATCTTCATCATCATCATCATCATCATCGTCATCATCACCATCATCATCATCATCATGTTTCTGTTGGTTTGGTCGGGGTCCCAAGTCCCCGGGGAGTGATAGTCTGCAAAATGCAACGGATACTGTTATTACTCCAGATGCGAGGGTCGAGGCGTGTGCCACGCGCGTCTCTGAAGTCACGCAAGAACGTTGCCCCAGCAAACCTGAGCGGGCAAACCATTGTGGAGAGGCCAAAGCAATGCCAGCCCGAATCGCGAGAGCGAAGCGGGCATATCAGAGAGCTGTTCGAAGAGCACAACAATCTGACACCGGCTGCACCACCTATCGGGGTCGCAGCATGACCCTACAGCAGCTTGGTTCACGACGAGCCCTACTTCCCGTAGCACCTGTCCAACAGAGACCTAGACGCGGGGAGCCACACCATCGGCGACTCAGGATTGTCTCCAAGAATCTCGGCGGCATGTGCAGTGCCA